TCATTTATCCTTTATCGTATTTATTTTATCGCATCGTATATCCAAAGGAAGAACCTACGCATAACTTAACACTTGTGCGTATTGCACCTCATATGCATCATTCTCCCCACTTGATCCTTGATCCTTTTCAAGTCGATCAACTTAAGTTTAGATCCTACCCCTTAAGGAGGACCGTTTTATCTTTTACAACTTAGATCAACCTATTTCAACTTAATTCAATTATTCCCCCATTAGAGAATAAGATGTTAGTCATCTTGACAGTCGAAAAATAAATCTCTTGTCCCCATAACAATACAATCGTGAGATATAAGACCTTTTCCGCTTGAGAGAGATAGTGGCATACTCGTCGATGAAATTCGAGTGTTTGATCCCTTCTCTCAAGACGCGCAAAGACCATCTCCTACAAGTTGTGGTGGTTAAGTGGAGTGTTCTCCCTCAAGATGACAACTCGTCTTTTCTCCTAGAATCAATCAACGAAACCCTTTTTCTTTGGAACTTTGACTAACAGTCAATGGTTCCTCAAACCCTTTAGAGGAACTACAAATACTCTGATTCCATTCCCGTCAGGATATGTAGGCACAAGATGCGACGTCTTGGCGAGTATACTTAGATATAAACCACCAGGTCTTTCGCCCTTAAGCAGATAACCCTTAGCAATAAACACCGTAAAACGAGAGGTTCCTGTAAAGTACTACAGAAACTTAAGATGCTAGCACCTTCCCTAAGTTTAACCAACTCCCGAACCTAAACTCTCTAGCTTTTGCATTTGCATTGCATTGTGGGTAATTCGATCTTTTTCTTTTTCTTTGGACAAATTAAAGACTGGTGGTGAACCAATGAATTAAGATTCAAATTAATTAATAATTTGACATCCAATTTTCACCGCGACAGCAACTATTTAAATGACTTGGCATTTGACTGACAATGCCCAATCACCATTTTGAGCGCCACATAATCAAAACAGATGGGAGAATAAAAAATCCCAAAAGGTGACAACTTGAGGAACTAAAAGGCTGAAAAAAGTAAAAGGAGGACTAAAATGTTAAAAATTTGTAAATATGGGGACTAAAAGTGCATTTAAGCCTACAAAGAATTTAAAAAAATCAAATGAAAAATTAGTTTAAATAGTTATTATGAAAATGTTATTTTAGGTATTTCATCCTTTTGATATAACTTTTTTTATATTAAAATTTAAATAAATAAAAAAAACACTTAAAATTGAAGCTATTTCAAATAGTCTTTCATAAATATCATTTTTTACATACATGTTTTTTAAATTGTGATTTTTCCTATGTTTTATTCTTCAATAATGTATATTTATGTTACAGGATGTCAAAATTAGTCTTTAAATTTATAAAAATTGAATTTAAAAAAAACATTCAATATTTTAAAAATATTTTTATAAAAGTCATTTTTGAAAAATACAAAGAAAATCTTTTTTTTTTAACTAACATTAAAGTTGTGCAGAGTGACTTTAATGGAGAATTTATACCATTTACCAAACATTTAACTGAACTATGCAAAGTGCATAGACTCACATGCCCACATAGATTTCAACTAAATGGGTATATTGAAAGGAATCAAAGAAAAATTATTGAAATGAAGCTCACTCTCTTGGCGCATGCCTTTATTTTATTATCTTATTAGAGTCATAACTTCAATATGGAAACTTACATCATCAATAGACTTTCCACTGCAAGTTTGTCCAGTTTTTCCTCACCCTGGTATGCCTTGCACAAGAAGCTATCCAGTTATAAGTCACTCAGAATCTCTGGCTACCTATTTTTTCCTTCTCTTCTACCATATAATCAACACAAAATTCATTTTAGAACTGAGGAGTGTGTGTTTTTAGGCGTATCTCTTCAACACAAAGGGTTCAAATGTCTTAATTAAGATGGAAAAATTTTATATCCAAAGCTTTTTCATTCAATGAGAGCAATTTTCCCTACTCCACTCTTTTTCCTAGTGTCATATATAAGTTTCAACACACACAATTAAGCTTGTCCTTGCCCCTTACAAAAATAGTCGGCAATGCCAAGAACCTTAGTACTACATACTTCAAACTATGACTTTGATGTACCTGACAACAACAATAACAACGTGGTCCCTGTTGGATCTAGTGATGGGTCTATCTCAGCTAACCTCCCTAATAATGTGTCATCGTCACCACTTAACCCTCATCATTCCATAAACAAGTTCAATGATATATCTTACAATGAGCATTTTCCAAAGGTATTAACTCTCAGTAACAGGTCTATATCACAAATACATGAGGTATCTCTTGATGATCACGTGACTACTATACAAACTTCTCCTACTACCGTTGTTCATCCAATGTTTACTAAAAAAAGGTCACTTTAAAACTAAAGCTTTTCTTTAAAGGTGGAAAAATGGACCAGACCCAACATAAATGTCTGTTTTTCCCACACTTTTTTGTAGGGAAGACCAGAGTTTTAGGCGTGCACCCTCTAATGTGCCTACTCCGCTACGCCACGCCCCCATTTTATATTGGCTTTTATGGGCATGAGAGTTAACAAAAAAATTTCATTTTTAGGCTTTAAATGTATATTATTCGCCCTTCCTCACCCCCACCCTCATTTCTTTGTGAGACGGGTCAAGATTTTAAGTTCGCACTATCAACTATGTATTTCCCGTCCCGCCCCATTTTTGCGGGCTTTTATGGGGCGAACATACCCATTTGTCACCTATACCTTTCTCATTATCATTGAGTCTATTTCAGTCAAAGAAGCCTTGTCTAGTCCTCGGTGGTCTAATGTTATGAAAATATAGTATAATGCCCTACTGGACAACTAAACTTGGTCACTCGCCACCTTTCCTACTCATAGGAAGCTTTAGACTGCAAGTGGGTCTTTAAAGTCATGTAAAATCCTGATGGCCTTGTAAATAAGTATAAAGTTGGTTTAGTTACTGAAGGGTTTCCCCAGAAGTTGGTTTTGATTAAAATGAAACCTCATCTCTTATGGTCAATCCTACAACTATAAGGGTTATTTTTACAGTCTCCATCACACATGAGTGAAAGTTACAATAGGTTGACACCAATAATGTGTTTCTTAATGGTACCTTGCCATAATAGGTTTACATGGTACATCCTTCTGGTTTCGTTAGCTCTAACAAATCCCTCGTTTGCAAGTTGCATAAAGCCTTGCGCAACTTCAAACATGCACCAAGGCAGTTGTATGAGAAACTCCATTAAGCATTATTTTAGTTTGGGTTTATTTCAAGAAAATATGATCATTCCTTGTTTGTCTACTCTCATCTAAGGGTTGTCATGTATGCCCTGACCTATGTAGAATACATTTTGATGATTGGATTGTTCTCTACAATTATACATGATCTCATTATAAAACTCCATCCAAAGTTTTGCTCTAAAAAAGCTTGGAAGAGATGAATATTTTCTTGGGATTGAAGTCACTCGTCATGATCAAGGGTCAATTGTGTTATCATAGTCAAAAATACATTAAAGACCTTCTAACATATGTTTTCATGCCAAATGCTAATGGATCTCCCACACCAATACTTAGTAGTCTTAAACTCAACATGTTTTGCCATAATACCTTTTCTAATCCTCATCATTGTAGGTCCATAATTAGGGCAGTGCAGTATGTCACTTTGACACACCCTGATATTAACTTTAGTGTCAACAAGGCATTGTCAATTCAAGGCTTCCCTCTTAACTACACATTAGATTGTTGTCAAACGGATCCTAAGGTGTCTAAGGGGTACAATCAAGTTTGGCCTCACTCTAATTCCCTCCAATGCCCTTCACAAGTTCTCTCTTCATGCATATTAGCGAGTAGGTAAGTGATGTTGATGATAGGAGTTCTACCTCTAGATCATGTATCCTCTTTGCCCCTAATTTAGTCTCTTAGAACTCTAAGAAACAATCACTTGTGTTCAGGTTAAGTGTAAAGGCAAAAAACCGCACATTGACACATACGACTTCAGAACTTCTATGGCTTGAGCCATAACTCACTAGACTCCATGTTCCCTTCTTTTTTTCTCACCCTAATGTGTGACAATTTGAGTGTCATTCATCTATCTCACAATTCAATTATTCCATGCACGCACAAAGCATATTGAATTGGACATCCATTTTGTAAGAGAATGTATGGTCTCCAAAAAACTAATACTTCAACATGTTTCAACTGCTTTTCATATTGCTGATGCTTTTGCAAAGCCATTTGAATCCACTCTTCCACCACCCTAAGCTTGAGGGAGAGTATAACAAGTACTCCCTATGCCCTTATTCATAAACAAAAATCTTCTAAATTTTTTGGCCTTAAATATAAGCAAATGTCAACCAATCTAAGCTCATTTAATGTCTTTATTCCAAAACTATCTCTACATTAATTACTCAATGATGTTAGTGAAAGACAATTTAATTAAGAGTATATTAATAATCACATTATCTCCTTACATGAAATCAAGAAAATTAAATGCACCTATCTGTTATTTTTAATAGACGTGAAAATTGTTTTTTTTTTCTTTCTTATAAATCAGGCAAGTATTAGTTTAAAAAGCTTGGTAGGATTAAGTCCTGTTACTATATAGGTTGTTAGAGTTAGTTAGAAGTGGTTGAATCAGTTAAAGTGAAGTAGTTGAGTCAGTAGAACACAACCAACTTCAATTAACTCTATAGATGAAGTTCTTCATTATTGTGTAAAAAGTTAAATGAGAATGAATAAAAAATTCAACTTATCAAAAGCTATTTAACACTTCTTAACATGGACCAACCAAATTAAGAACCAAAAAAGTAATAGTTAAAAATTTGAAATTATTCATCCCATCATGGAAAACTGGTGAAGACTACACATTCTTTTTTACCATAGGAAATCACCATATAACAATGATCACCTCAGAGAGGAAAAAAGGTGTGAGATTAATTACCTTAAACCTGCTATAAACTACCAAATGCTATAACCTAAAGGCTACATTATACAACTAATTACATAACAATACATCATATAGTGATCAAAAATTCAGTTCAAGCTAATTCTAGGTGGAAGGCATACTCCTAGAGCTTGCTCTTCCACAAAAATGCTTTCACATTTAACCAATTTCATGACACACTCAGCTACATTTTGATACTTCTTTTGAGCTTCAACAAAACTATTTCCAAGAACATGTTCAATCCAATCTTCCACTGCTTTTTTCTTGTCTGATAACCAAGCAGCTGCAAGTATCTGTGACATCACCTCATAATCAATTTCCAGCACATAATTTGATCCAAATGTTGTTTGAAATTGTTTGTCAATGCATTTGATTATTTGCTCCGCAAGTAAATCAAAATCGAACGGCTTAAAAACCACTTTTCCATCAATTTGATCAAGGAAATCATTTAACCAAGCTTCATGATTTTTAACAACAGATTCACTTTCACGGTCAGCACAATCAACTTCCTCCTCAACTTCTTCCTCTAGAGGCATATTCAGATCAAGATACGACCGTGACACCTCTTTGACATGTTTCGGTGTCTTGCTAGTTACTTTCTCATTGGAATCGCTACTTTCAGTTTCGACTAGCTTTCTTTTATTCAGAAATGTTCCTTTTCTCTTTGCAACCCTCACATTCGTGTTACTGCTTCTCACGACATCCTCAGAAGCATGTCCAGGCGATAATCCAATTTGACATCTTTTAGCTTCAAGGATTGTTTCCTCGGAAAACATTTTCGGTTCCTTTTCCGTATCCAAAAAGCCGCTAACTTTGAACACAGAAGAGGTCACAACAAATATCGCATTGTTGATACTGATTTCCCTTCCATGTGAGTATGGAAATTTTCCCGTTCTTATTGCGTGGAACAAACTATTCTGAACAATTAAATCAGCTTTATCTATATTTTCAAGAAACACAACCGAACGCGGCTTTTTACTCAACTCGCCAGCAATATAATCCACAACTGTCTTCCTCCCAAGCAAGTTGTGGCATTCAAAAACAAGGTTCAATGGTTGAAACCTGTCCTGAGAGTTTAAATCCACTGAGATTATGTTTTGTTTGCTTCCAAATAGAGTTTCTGCTAGTTCTGAAGAAAATTTTCTTTTTCCAACTCTGTCTGGTCCAAGGAAAGAAAACCATGTGTCGGCTCTTACATTTGAATTCGATCGACTATGCTTTCCGCCACCAGATCTACAAAGTGTCATAATTCTAATGATAGCATAAATTGCCTCCTCTTGCCACCAAACCTTTTCGATAAGGAGTTTGTAAAGTGACTTGAAATCAACCATTTCAAATTTTCCGTCTGAATTTGGACCAGAGGATCTAGCAATTTGGTTTGAAGTACTCTCAACCATAGCATCATATTCAGTCGAAAGAGAATCCGACAAGTGCGGAAGATGCTTCTTATGATCGCTTACTTTTGGAGTATCTGGCTCATGAGTAACCGATGCATACGTGGTTCCCAAAACCAAATCTGTGGTGACAGGAGAAGAGGTAGCCCGAGTACTTTGTGAGTCAACTTTCGAAACGTTCGGTACATGTCCAGTTTTATCATTGACAATAAGACTAGTATCAAAAGGTTGTGAAAACGGTAATATCTGTTTAGAAAGATATGAATTTTGTAACTCTTTAGGCATGTAGGGAATTGGATTAGAGCAGTGGACTTCATTAAAGTTACTAGTTCCTGTACCAAATCGAAACCCCTCGTGGAATGGAGCTTGGAACCTTGTTAATGTTTGGGAAACATTGATTTCAGGTAACGATTTGTTTCGATGAAGATGCTGACAGATATCACTCCATTTCCTTTGCAATTCGAAGATCTTAGCATTCAAACTTGTGTTATCTTCATTAGTCTGCACTGTCAAAAATTGATCAATTAAGTATAGCACATGATCAAACAAAACACAATTAGTGACAATAATGTATCCAAGAATTTTAATCAAGAGATTTGGATAAGATTTAATCTTTAAGTCCATAAAAAGTATATATCATGAATAATATTACATTTGAAATATTTAGGCATTTTGGAAGTGCTATGCTACTGCCTACAAGTAAACCAGGGCCCGCCGATTGCATTATTTGCATATGTCTATTATGGTAGGACCATAGTATACCTGGAACAATATACTTGTTGCCAATATTCAAAAATGCTTTGTCCTTATCAATTTTCTGAAACATCACCAATTCAGTTCAGTAAACCGAATCTCCTAAGGCCTATATAGGCATTCAAGATGACGAATTTCATTAGTTTGGAAGATTCACTTTTTCTTTTTACTTTTACCATTTTAGACAGTAGCATTATTGCTGCTTACCTCTAAATTATTTTATAGACCAGAACATCAGTTGACCCCACAATGTTGCGGTTATGTGTGTGTAAGCATGTGAATGTCTTCGCATGCATAATGGAAAATGGAATACAAAGTTAGGTGATTATAACGCTAACACACCTTTGCCAAACCCAATCCTTTATCTGAATCCACGTTCGCTTTTTGTAACCAAGGTAAACTTGTTGACACGGAAGTAGAAGGCCCTACCTTGGGATAATTATCAGCAACTTCTTGTTCATACTTCTCATTGCATGTGTCGCAAAGAGGTAAAGATATATTGGGATTTCTGAAATCAGAAGGTGTGGAAAAGAACCCACCAAATGGAACAAAGGACCCCATCAAGCTGCAAATATATAACTTTTAGATTAAATATACACCAAACTGTCAGAACCTAAAGTGCACATGAAGCGATAAGCTTTACGCATCATCCATCTCAATAAAAGAATAAAACCACAATAGGCAATAAAATTTGATATCAAAATTGGATCTGGGTTGTGTGAACGCACACATCAGCCATATCTGGATTGTTTGATCAAGATCTCTGTCCGAATTTCTAACTGTAAGTGACTGATTGCGTACGGTAATACTGAACACAATCCAAATCCATCAAAATTACATTCTTAAAGCCAAAACCAAAAAAGAAGAATATAGTCAGGGATTCAGAAAACAAAGAAGCATTCATCAAAAGACTGCAGGTAGAGGAACGAACGGCTCGTGAATAACCAGCATAAAAACCGATATATCTAGCATCCATTAGAGGAATACTTTAACAATTCAGATTAACTTGTTCCCAGATTATAGAACATCACAAAAAAATCTATGGCAAGTGAATAACTTGTCTCTAAAACAGAAAACAGTTGAATCATGACCCTTATTAGATTATTGCTATAAATTCATAAAAAAGAAAAAGGTTATAGAAAGTTGTAATTAAAATATAACCAGATCTAATTTTTTAATTTAAAAAACCGACACTGTAGCCAAACACAACTTTACAAGTGACAGAGAATTAGAAAGCAACCAAAGGCCAAAACCATCTGAAAACAAGTGAAAGACAATAACACAGACCAGTAACAACACTTCACTCTACACTCAATCATTTAATAACCAATTACTATATTGACATGTCAATTTTTTATCTTCAAAAACAATATGTAACACACACATACCAATATCACATACCACTTCCTTTTCATGCATATAATATAATATGAAACTATCAAAATTATTAAATTGAAAATGCATGAGTACTCACTCTATGACAAAATAACACACATAGGTTTTTTCTACTCCAATTTTCAAGTCAAGACAAATACAAACCAGAAGCAATAAAAGAAACATACCTGGATTTAGAGTAGAGTCCTTCCATAGAAGGAGTAGCAGATGTCACAGTCAAAAGATGCAGATCCCAATCCTTATCAACCGTAGGGAACATCCTTAGAAACTTTGAATACACATCACAGGTTCCTGCTACCCCTACCAACCAAACCTTTCTACCATAAACCTCTAACAACCTTGTCAACCGCGAAACCACCAACACAACAGCATCACCAGCAGCAACATCATCACCACCATCATTATTCATCTTCACAAAAATCTCAATCTCCCCGAAGCTAACAACAACACCAGCACCCAAACATTGCTCCACCAAACGACCCACCTCATCAAATCTCAACACCATCTTCTCCTCACTCCCACCACCAACAACAAACTCAAGAATCTCCTTCTCGATAGAAACCACACTCAACCCATCAAGATCATTAGGTAAAAAACCAACCTTTCCACTTTGAACCAACTCTATAAACCTTTTCAGAGCGGTTTTAGCATACACCCCCATCAAAAAAGGATTCCTTTTACTCTGACTCTGACTCTGACTCTTCCCAGCTATAACCTCCACAATCCTTCTGGAGTTGTCATCGAACCGGAACCGGTCTGGTTCCGGTTCAATATTGCAGAGAAAAACCGGAGGAGAAGGTCGATGGAAGAATCTAGAAGGTAGTGGAGGTTGAAGCAAAACAAATTTAATATCATAGCTACGAAAACCCGCGTCAGCGAAAACACGACTAACAATAGGGTCATCAAGAATAGAAAGAATGAAATGCTTCAATTCAACTTTCAAAAACGACGCGGTTTGATTCTGCTGATTCTGTTGCTGTTGCATAATCTGAAGCAAATGGAAGCTATCTGGATTCCGACGTTGATTCGCCTGAGAGCGTTTAATAGCTGCCATGAGAGAGTTCGACACCGGAGGTCCACCGCCGTTGCCTTCAGCAACGGCGGAGGAGGTTTTACAAGTCGGGAGGCGGTCGAGGGAAACACCAACGGAGAGCTCTAAGGCGCGAAACTGAAGACGCGGCGAGTAAGGAGAAGTTCCGGCACGCGCGCAGGCGTCGCGTAGCATGTTGGAAGGTAAAGAGAGTAAAGCTGAGACAGCGTGAAGAGATGTTGTTTGCGCGTGGTTTCGCCTACGCGCTACTGATACTGCCTCGTCTAGTGCACGCGCCGCTTCGTCTGTTAAGCATTGCCTCGCTGTGCTTACCGGCGTCGGCATCGCCGGCTAGCATATATATGAAAATATAAAACTAAAATTTATTTATTATTTGAAGTGAGGTAACAATAAAAATAAAAATAAAAGGATAAAAGGATAAAATATTTGAAGGTGTTTGTTTGTTTGGGATTAGTTTAGTTATTGAAGTGGAACACCCAAAATAATTAATTGAAGTGAGTGTGTTAGAAATGGAAAAGATTTTAGTCTTAAAAGGAAGAGAAAGAGAAAGAAGGATAAGATTGTGGATTGGTGTTTAGAGTTTGATGATGAAGAGGAGAGTGGTTTTTGTTGGAAGAGGAAGATGTTTTTTTGTTTTGTGGGAAGTTAATGTAAATATGATGTTGGGTTGGATTGTTGCTGGGGCCCTTGTTTTGTGCCATGGTTGAAACACATGGTGGGCATAGATTCTATGTGGGAAGAATAGAAAGAAGTGAATTCAACATGTTCTAGATTTCTAATTATGATAAAAATAAAAATAAAAACTCTTTATTGACTGATCAACTTATTCTTATGAAAGGGGTGAAATAGTAATTATGTATTTCTTTTTCTTTTATGAAAAAGAAAACTTTGTGAGTGCTTGTCTTTCATGGTGGTGAGTGAGGGAGATGCTGTGCCCACTTAAGTGTTTGAGGGTAAGAGAGGGTCAATGTCAAACTTTTTTGGGGGACTAATAGTAATAGAGACCTTTTGTTGTTCTTTCTTTCTTTCTTTTTTCACCTCTTTTTGCTTTATGACATATATTTACATGAAAGGGATGTGTCTATACCCTAATCTAAAAATATCTAATATTATTTCGATGGACTCAAATTTTGATCATTAAGCATCTTATGATGTTTGACAGTGTTAGTAGGTATATTTTATATAGATTGCATTTTAATTGTACATCATATGAGATCAAGTTGCACAATTAATTGAGAATTTTATATGTTTGAATGATCCAAATAAAATCGTAAGAGGAAAGAGTTGTTATAAATAGAAACTAAGATTCTATTTTGTTGTAAATAAAATAATAGTAGTATTTTTTAATTGAAATATACTTAAATTACATTAATCATTGTTTTTATTAATTTTTTTAAACAAAAAGTAAATATTTAATCTAGTATAGTAGGGATGTTCAAATAAATTAAGTTGTAATCAAGGTGATTTTGAAAATATTTGAAAATATTTTCATAGGTACTTCATGTTTTGAGATGGAAATTTTTTGAGAAAGTAATGATCAATTAGTTTGAAATAAATTGTGTAGTTGTTAAAAAAAATACAATATAGACGATCTTTTAGTGAACAAATTGTTTGCGATGTTTAGGGTATTTAAGTGTGCTTAGAACTAGCTCACGACCTTGAAAATGATTATTTGCGATGTTTAGGGTATTTAAATGTGTTTAGAATTAGCTCAAGGTTGTGAGAAGATCTATCTATTTCTTTATGTTATAAACGTGTGATCATTTCTATATATTTCTTTCTTTAAGAAACGTGTGATATATTTCCTTATTATGAGAAAGGTCAATGACTTTCCACAAAGAAGACAACAATCTTCATTTCACTCGCAACATTGGAGTGGTAATATGGAGAATAACGTATGAGATCTGATTCTAAGATACATTCAATGGCTCCCCGCATCTTACCCTTGAAAAATAGAAGGATGTTATAACTGCCACACTATATAAAGAACATGCACATCAATTTCTAGCACTCAATTTTAAATTCAAACTTTATTCAGTCACCTTACTTTTATACTAACTTGGGGGTTGGAGTATTAATCTCATAAGTCAGCCTCTCTTTCACTGCATCATAAGTTCAAATTTATCGTTGCATCTCACAACCTCTGTTCTACGATTAATTCTGATTCCACAATGGAACAGTGGCATCGTTTGTGGAAATCGACTTCTGATTAGTGTATCTTTCACGATTGAATACTTCTACTTCGATTCACGATTCAAAGCCTTCTCAACCTAAGAGATTAGAGTTCTTGAGATCAAACCTTATATTTGTTTTTTTCGATCTATTCTAGTTGCAGATCAACTTTGATTTTCAGAATTTCCAAAGCTTTAATCTCCATATCTTCCGACATTGGTTAGATCTAAAGCAACGAGTTTTTTCGCATTGCATAAAGTGGTTGATGTTGATGCTCAAGCTAGAATAAATCCACTACCTCATCCTCAAGGCGGTGTGGATCAAGTCGTTGTGAACACTTTATCACATCCAGATCTCCTCCAACCTTCATAGATCGTAGAATCTGCTCCGCAGTTCTAACAAGATGATCATTCGCTTAGACCTTCGGCACCACCATCAACCTCAAGACCGGAAGCATTGTCTAGCTTCTAGTTGTTACAAGTAGCCTTGAAATACAAGGCACAAATGAGTTATTGAACATCATGTATAACATAGTTCAGCAGGAAAACTCCCAAGCAATAGAAGAAATATTACATTGTCTGAAAGAAAGTCTGCACAACATGAATCCAAAGGGGAACACAATGAAGAAACGCAGCTCAAAAATATCCAGATCACTAAAAAAGAAAGAGACATCAACTTCCTCCTCACAATCTTATAGGACGTTAGGGTAGTTATGTTCCTGCTAAGTAACAAGTAGAGAAACCACCAGTGAAGAACCTGTAGAAGTATTTTATGTGTGCATGTATCCTTCACATCCAAATACCAAAATTGTTGGAAAAACCTCTAAAGCTAAAGGAGTACGATAAGAAGAGAGATCCCAACAAGTATGTACAACTTTTTGATGAGCGTTTGAACTACTTCCATGTCAATAAGGCAGCAAAGTGCAAATTATTTGTATTAATACTGACAGGATATAATAGGCTCTAGTTCAAAGCTTTGTTGAATGGAAGCATTGAGTCGTGGATTAATCTGTGCGAGAGCTTCACAACTTGGAAAAGGAAATCAGTGACAATAGTTGCCCTCAGTGAGATAACATATGGGAACAAATAGAGCTTGTGTTCGTACATCGACCATTTCATGCAAGTAGTTATGGAAGTAGAAGAAAATGAAGATGGCCTCAAGTGCCATGGGAGTACATTGGCTCATTCACAAAGGCATGAGTAAAAGTTGGAAGAATAGCAAAAAATTTGAAATGTTGAATATTTATGTAAGGGGTTGAGGCCAAATTGCATGTTTCTGGATGACGGAAACCAAAGGCTTTGAGCCATGTTCTCATTATGCATTCTATTGAACACATTAAATGATAAAAATTGGAAATGATTTGAAATAAAATACTCCTATATTGTCATGGAGTCATCCAAGATGAACAGATAAAAATACCTTCGCTTCCACAAAAGTCAAGACAACAACACTAACAAATGCATCCACTTGAAGGAAGCAATTTAGAAGTTGGTCAAGAAAGGAAGACTTACTTGTTACACATAAGATAACGGTCAAAAGGAGGATTAAGATGCAAGATGGATCAAATAGGAATAAATGATCCCCTCACCGGGAAAAATGGTCCTTGAAGAAAATTATAGAAGTCGTTAGCGGGGATAAAGAAAAAAAGGACATCAATGGTGATGAGGAAGAAGCCCAGAAAATAAAACTTCAGTATAATACATCCATCATTTGAGGTCTTTCTCGACCAAGTAAACCCTCCAAGGGCATGCTAAAAAAAAGATTAGTTAAGTTAATGTCAATTAGCAAGGAGGAAGGAGAAAGTTCTATAGGAAAACCATATAGGCATATTCTCATAATTCAGGATAGTGAAGAAGTTGGCGGAATCCCAAATGAAAATTTTCCTTTTGTAATAATAACCATAGAAAAATTCAACGTGTCTAGAATTACCATTGATTGAGGGAGTTCTTGCAAAACTTTACATGTATAGCTCTTTGAAAAACTCGAACTAAAAAGGGAGAAGTTGTCGTCGTATGAGGGATCAAACCTACATGGTCACCCATCCATGGGGTTATATTAAGATAACGGTCATCGTAGGGGAAGGAAGAGACACTAAGATGGCTGACCTTTAATCCTTAGGAGTTCTTTGCAAAAGCATATACAATTGCTTCCTAGATAGACCTTTCACAACAACATTAGATTGGTGGTCTCTTTAGTCCACTTAGAAATGAAGTATCACAATGTCCATAATAAGTCAGTGATAATATGCTTCAAAGTGTATGGAGTACAAAGGATACATAAGGCCTTTCAACACGACCAAAAGGGGGGAAATAAAGAGGATGTGGTAGAAATCAATATACCTTTCCTCACCTAGCACTCGAAAGTGATAATGATCAAATCGGTGAAAGAAGAGACCGATGTAACCAACAAGTATGCAATGAACCGTTTTAATTTGACAGGTTCAGGGAACGACACTAAATGAAGAGAGAATCTACCATAATAAGCCATGTGAGCACACCAAGAGAACGAATAAATAATAACATAGTTGTTTGGATAAGTTTCTTTCTACTATATACATAAAGCATGCTTTGCAACACAAGGTAATGTATTTTTCAATAAGAATAGATAAAGTTTCATTTCCTTATGATTAGATAATGTTTTTTTAAATTAAAATGAATAAATTTTTACTTCTTTATGAACACAAAGGATATGCGCGACCCAAGAGTGTTGTCGCAAACATCACAAGCGTATGACCAAAAAAATAAAACCTCATAACAAAAATCACATGGATAAAGACCACATACCACGAAAAAAATTATTTTTTTGGGCTTACCCCCACCCCCTTTAGAAGTTAGCCATTATATAGTACATAGGTGAGTCCCTAATATGTCGGTCTCTAACCAAGTTCAAAATTGAGGGCAGGGAAGAGCTAACGACCAGTGCCCAAACACATTCCCAAAGACATCCAAAACATCAAGAACAACCTAAGATGACATCCAATTCCCAGATGAATAAACTCAGGACATAAGGCAATGCCTTAAGTAAACTTTTAAGCACGACTTCAAACACCAGCCGATTCCCATAGAAGTGAACCCAAGGAAATAAAGAAAATGTAATCCATAAAATAAGATAAATGTTATAAAGCAACTAACATGAAATATATTCCTTAGAAA